AGCGCCTTGAAAAGTCTGAGGAAATGACTTTTTTTTGCGCCCCCTGTCTATAAATTATATATTATAAATTATAAAATATAATATATATAAGTATATATATATACTAGATATATTATATATATATATATATAATAATTATATATATATATATATACCTACCCTACGTGAGACGATCCGCCCACTTTGAAGAAGCTCCGCACACTTCAAAAATGGTGCTAATCGGCAGTATAGAGCCTTGGCTTGCATGCTAGGGTTTTCGTCCCTCGTAACAAGAAAATCAGGCAAAGTTTGTTCCGAGTGACGAACGAGACCCTAGCCTGAGAGCCAAGACCCTATACTGCCGATTTACAATAATTTTGAAAAGTGGGCGGCGCTTTTCCAAAGTGGGCGGAGCCTCCAGCAGAGGACGGGGGTTCACGCAGCAGTCCAAAAATGGAAAAATTTTGAAAAAATGTGGAAATTCCTCCGACAGCGTCGCTACGTTTCAGGATATCATCTTCAGCGCAGTCGCCAAGGCGCGGGTTGATGGTATGGCACGCAAGTTCCTGGAATGGGAGGACCGATATTCTCCTCGTGGACCCCGGACTGAAAGTGAACGCTGATGGTTACATCGACCAACTTGAGGAGAATACCATGCCTTCATATTGTCGCCCGTATCATCCTGGAAACCTGGTACTCAGCATTGGGTGCGACCACATTGGAACCGAAGGGCGCTAGAATTGTGCTGCTTGTAGCGCATAGGACGATTTCACTCGTCGGAGAGAACTCTAGCCTATGACCTTCTCGCGAGCTCACGAGTTGTTCTTCTTTCGCTGGATTCATTTTCGAAAACAATGTATTAGTAGTAGTCCACCTTGCTAGGCAAGATGCGTTGGTGCGCGCGCTACTTAACTTCAACAGCGATTCAACAGATTTGGTGTGCAAACTCGTCCCCGTTCTTACCGCAGTAATAATTTCATGCACAGAGTTTTCGAAAGGTATTTTCTGTCCCATCGTCTTTGTTTTTCGTTTTTTTTTACTTTGAACGGCATTTGAAACAGAGAATACGGAGGAACGGTTTATGAGCTAGAGGCTGCACAGGGGCCGCAGGGTGTTGAGCAGGGTCAAGCATCACGTCGTGGAAAAGTTGGGGGGAGTGGTATTGGTAAGACTCCCTCCCCCCCCTTAGGAAGGGATTCTGTACAATCCCCCTCCCCTTAGTGACTGTGGAGTGTTTTGGGGGGGGGGGGTATTGGCTCTGCCGAACAGGATGTGGCTGTTATGTGTTTAGCGAAATTTACCGAATGAGTATCTGAGTATTTAGAAATATTTACAAGACCAAGCGAACAAAAACACTGGAAATTGAAGAAGTTAGTCTCCAAGATTTCCAAGAAGTAGTGTAGTGTACAAATCAGAACTCCGAAAAACCTTACAGTGACGCCGTCCAAACGAAACAACATAAAGCCAAGACTTTGAGCACTCTGCGGTGCGCGCGTAGGAGATCAGAGCGTTCACTGGTTTCACATAGTATTTCTCAAAAGTGTACAACTTCATGCAACCATATTTGGCACATCGGTAAGGATTATTCGAGTTGTAGGCCATGAGGCCAGAACTGAATGAATATCTGAGTATCTGGGGACACTCACCAAAATTATTGAAAAAGCACTGAAAATTGAGATTTGTTACTCAGAACCACATAGTGGAACTTCGAAAAAACCCCATAATAGTGAAACTTCGAAAAAACCCCACGATGACAGCGTTCAAACGATGCAACACCAACGAAAGTGCCACGGCTGCATCGCGCATTGAGACTGGACCGCTAGTGACCCGCTGCATTCACAGAGCATCCTTGAATAGTTATAACTTCATTCAGAAAACATCTTTCGCAGAGCGGTAAACGCGGAGAATTTCGGGCGAACGCGAGGCGAACGCTTTAAAGAAAAATACCTTCGTTTAGACATAATGTAAAATGGAGACCTATTTGGTTGGCAAAATAGTATTTTCCGATTTCTGTTGAAGTTACATACGGGGTATACGTACCGTTTCACTTTCAGTGAGCATTAACTATGGCCGAAATTACCAACACCATTATAAACAAATACAATACAATTTATTCCGCTACTCATCTGATATATACAGAGAAACGGGCCATGCTCTGAAACCATTCTGGTGTAGTCGCGAAGCTCTTCCAGTCCGTTCCAGCGAACATCTTGAGATCGTCTTCCCATCGTTCGTGGCCTTCCGACTGCTCTATTCCCGGGGGGCTGCCAATTCAACAATGGAACTCCCATCGTGTTTGATCCCTAGTCATCAAGTTATTCGCATATATCCATTTGCGTTTTCTGGCTTCAGCAACGACGTCTTTCAGCTGTGTCCTTTGTCTTATAGTTACATGTAGTCGATACCTTGTCGCTGAGTCGAAGACCGAGCATCTGTCGCTTCATTCTTCGCTGAGTTTTCCGCAGACTTCTTTATGCGCCTTCCTTAATACCCATGTCTCGCATCCGTACAGTAGTGCAGACATCACGCAGATATGGAAGAAACGTCGTCTGATTTGCATCGGCGTCATCTTGCTTCATAGTAGAGTTCTGACTCTTCTGTAGATGTTCCAAGCCGAGATCCTAGAGCTGATTTCCTGACCGCGTTCCTGAGGTAAACAGATGACTTGACCCAGGTAGAAGAATGATGTTACTTGTGCAATCTCCAGCTCGTTTGCTCTGAGTTGATGACCGTTGGAGTTGATTGACATCCATTTGGTCTTATTTGCGTTCTCTTCTAGTCCAGCCTCCTTTGTCGCTCTGATGGCTTTATTGAGCATTATTTGTAATCCATATAGTGTGAGAGCACGGAAAAAGATCATCAGCATATGCGGTTAATTGAGACGATGTTGACCAATGGGGTATCCTTGATCCTCCCAGTCAATGTCGTCAAGGCAGGAGTGAAGTGTTAGCATGAACACCAATGGAGTTAATGAACCACCTTGTCGAACTCCTCGTTGCATGTCGATCATCTTCTCTGTAGCATTGAGAACCAGAAATGATCGGCTAGCAGCATAAAACTGCTTTATCATCCGAATCGTGCAGTCGCCTACTCCATATTCAGCTCATGCTCTCCAAATAGCACTGAAGTCGATAGCGTCGAAGGCTTTATGATAATCAACGAACACCATATGAAGTGGTTTCTTCCATTCACGGCATTTTTCCATCAACAGATTGACGGACATAATATGGTCACGGGTGGAGAAACCACTCCTGAATCCAGCTTGCTCAATGGGGATAGAGCTCATTACTTCTTCTTCCACACGATGAGCCAGTGTATCGGTGAGAACTTTGAATAGCGTCGACAATAAGGAGATTGGTATATAGTTGCCGATGTTGGAAGGGGTCACCTTTTTTATACAGAAGGATGGTTTTAGCCTTGACGAAACTTTCTGGGAACTGCTGAGTCCGAAAAATTGGTTGAGTACTGTTGCGAGATCGTTTGCACACATGGGGACTAGATATTTCGTTACAGTGGATGGGATTCCGTCAGGGCCGGATGTAGTATTTCCATGAATGCCGCGGCATGCTTTACAGAGTTCGCCTGCAGGAACCGGCCGTCCCAACGGGCCAATCACAGAGTATACAGAAAGTCCTTGAGAGGATCGGTAGAGCTCGTTGTTGAAGGCAGCGGCGGTATCAATGGCTTCTAGTGGTGTTGTCGTCAAAACCATATGCACGAAGGAGTTGTGATATTTGTTTATGCTCATAGGCCAACTCGTATTTAGCATACCTTATCCTTAGTTTTTCGACTGCACTTTCCATAAGTCGGCCTGCTTCCGCAAATCATCTGTGAATGACCATCGGACTTGTTTACATAGCAACGTGTATAGCAGGGGATTCGTTGAGCCAGTTGCCACTCCAAATTTCTGCTTTCTTCGCTCTGCCATCGGTGCCCTTGTGCGAGCAGAGATTCGATCCACTCGCTACTGACAAGTTCTTGCCAAGATCATGCAATTTTTAGCCGCCCGTAAGTTTGAAATCCGGAAACCAGTTGGAAGGGACTCCATTGTCATTGCAGCTTGTAGTTTCAACTTGTCGAAGCGCTGCGGCAACTGTATTGCTTTTTGGTGGAAATGAGCAGGCTTCAATGACATCGCCAAAGTTACTCGTACCATGCGGTGATCGCTGCCGACATTGCATCCAGAAAACGTTGTCACATCGCGTACAAACTTCGAATTGGGACATAGTACGTGGTCTTTCTCACTCGGGTGGTTCCGTTTGGGCTTCTCCATGTCCACCTTCTTCCGAACTTTTTCTTGAAGAACGTGTTGGCGACTAAAAGGTCATTTGCGGAGCAGAATGAAAGAAGTGTCGTGCCTCTTTCGTTTCTTCTACCAGTAGGTCCGCTTCCAGGCTCATGGTTGAGTGAGTGTCTTATGACAGCATTGAAGTCGCCGAAGATTATTTCAGATACAGCTGGTCTTCTGAACGGATGTCGTGCTGCTTCTACCTCGTCAGGAATCGCTCATATTCATCATCTGCTGCGGCAGAAGTCGGCGCATGAACTTGAATAATCCTGAGAGGTCTCTTTCTTACGAGGAACTCGGCTTGTATTATATGATCTCTGATGTAACGGATACCGACGAGCTTTTTGTTCATCCTGTGGACATATAAAATCCCACTTCAGCGTATGTGGGGGTATCGTCACAACGTTCACTATTGTACAATATAAAGATTGACCCAAGTTGAAGACACGATTAGGGCGTCGGGTTTCAAATAATCCAATCAGAGTGAACTTCACTTTTCTGACGTTGGCTTGAAATCTGCGAGTCGTTGCTGAGAACAAAGTCAGCGGACGTTGACTGCGGCTATCTTCAGGAAAGTTCGTGCACGGGAGTCGCTTCTTTCAGCTTGGTTTGACGGCGAAGACATCGGTGGAAGGAAACCAACCGTTCGAGGGGGAAGCAGACGAATGGACTGACCAACACCAGTATTCGAGCAAAATTTTTCCACGAGTAACGCCATGAGACTAATGCAGCCGCTGTAGCCCGAAAGATCATTGACGCATTCGGTGAAAGAACGACTACCGATTGTACCGAACGCAATAGGTATAAACGCTTCGAGGACGGAGAGGCGCACGTGGAAGATCGACATCGTAGTGGAGGTCCTTCAGTGCTCCAAGATTCGGAAATGCTCGCCGCCAGTGAAGAAGAGCCATATCCCAAAGTATGGCGTTTGGCAAGCAGGTTTGGGTGCACTTATACGACGGTTGCAAACCGCCTCCACGCTCTCGGATGCCGAGAGGTTTCGATGAAATGGATATCTAATCAGTTGACCGACGGCGTGAGGGGCCCGCCTGACAATCGTTCAATCTCTTCTCTTCCAGCCGCATAGCAAGGAGCTTCCTGAGGACCTGATTACTGGGTCTGAGATCCTCAACGATGCCTTATCCATCGTGTTGTTTGGCGTGGTGAAGAACCGCCGACGCAGCCTATGTCCCACCTCCACCCAAAAAGATATGCTCTCGTGTTTATGGGATTTCAAAGGAATGCTTCACCACTACGACGCTACCGCAGGGCAAGACTATAACTGCTGCTGTGTATGCTGATCAGCTCCAATCGGATGATGCTGTGAAAGAAAAAAGCACAAGAGCTACCGTCCACATTATCCATGACAGAGCTCGGCCTCATGTCGCTTCAACAACCCGTGAAAAACTGATGGAGCTCGGCATCCCATTGCACGTCCTTCCTAATCTCAGACCATGCGCCGTCAGACTGTTACTTGTTCAGACCGCTCAAGGCTGTCTAAGGAAACTTTGTTAAATACAATAATGTATTTTCGACAGTCACCGAGTTCTTCGACTCCCAGGCTCCAGCTCTGGGAGAGGAGGATCGCTGATACGCCTACTGAGTGGAGCAATGTTATTGATAATAACGGTGATTGTATTGCTGATAGATTGTTATGTTATAAAAGAAACATAAAGTTGGAGAAAATTTCAAATCGGAAGATACTTTTCTACCAACTTAATACATGCCGATGGGAACTACAAGATTTTTTTGAATGAGCACTCCAGAAGCCGCCATAACTCCGCTGAGACGTAACTTAGAACAGGTATCTACACGGCGTTGGGAAGTAGGTCTTCTCTTCCTGATGAGCACCACATTTTTGCTGTAGGTTAGTTACAGCGGAAATTTGCCAGTTGGATTTCCACTTAAGAGGCATCTTCAGCCGCAGCATGGGGATCTCCCCACATGCATACCCATATTATCATCTAGAATGCTCGCTAAAACTCCTGTACTCCTCTTCCTCACAATGTAGTGCATAAGAACTGCAGCAGAGAGGCGCTGATCAACACGTCCATGAAATGCGCCATGTACTCAACTTCCTTTCCGAACGCATCACTCATCCTACAAGCTACGTCTCTGCATTTCTGCAAATGCGACCCTCCCCCCTCCGGAAGGGTGCCAAATACAACTTCCTCGCTGCTTGGCCCTGCTGTCCGCTCGCCAGCCAAGTCAGGACTCGGACAATGAGGCTGTGTAAATGTTGGGGTGGGGTTCCGTACAAGATGTTCTCAATGTTTTTTTTGCTTCTTTCTCAAATGTAAAGTCATTTATCGTACTGGTTCATAGCCGAACTCCGACTGCTCGTTTCACTTATCGCGGGAACTGTCTTTGAGTCAAATGTGCACATATGACATTTGAGGTCAAAAACCGCAAAAACTTTTTACAGCCTGACAACTTCAATAATAACATTGCTCACCACTATAGCCTCTCCGAAAGTGGTGGTTCTTTTACCATCCCTTGAAAGACTGTAGAGAACGCTCAAACCTTTCTCCAATCGAACACTCGAAAGCTTCGACTTGGTACCTGTCAAACGTTTCTAATTAGAATGTAAGTATTTCGGTCTCAAGGCTGGCACCTTTCTGAAGGCATCTGCTTGCTACCGCTGATGGTGCCCATGGCTCCACATTTGGAGACAAACATATTTACTAAAGTTCCGTGGAGCAGTCTGCCACTAGATAAGCCCGCGCGGCGTCATAATTGCGGCGCTGGAAGCATTAAGTGGCACGTTGAAGTTTAAACCAATTATTATTTCCAAATAGTTAGTGAGCTAACAACACCATGCCCTAATCTTTCGAAATCAAGCCATTTTCTAAGCGTTTTTCACCAAGGGATGTGGCTAAAATTTTGCCTTCTTAGGTAGCTTGACCTTTTAAACACGAATACTACATGTGTCGCCCTGAGTCGCCTAGTGTTACGCCACAGACGCCAAATTGCCCTAGATCTCCACTTTCCTAAAAAACTGTCCTCGGAGGCAGTTTGACTTCCCAAACACGAGTATCACATCTGCATGGGGTGCCAAGAAAATTAGGACTGAGATGACGGGGAGTATACGTGACAGCGCACAAACATTTCATTCGTCAGCACCCTTCCCCCTAGTTAGTGATCCCTTCCTTTGCTGATATCGAGCCTTAGCAATGGGAAGAATCACTATCGCAGCCAACAAGAAAGTATGCTTCCTTGTCTCGCTGTGTATCCCTAGCTGCCGTAGCACAACGCGTGACAGGAAACCATTTGGAATTCGTGCTACAAACGTCGCAGTCGGAGCAAGCATGTTGTGCCGGCATTTGTGGCGCTGGGCGGCTAAACACATGTGATATGCGTGCTGAGAGGACCAACGCACATTTGGAGACCAATTAGCAGACAAATCGAAGTTCTGACTCGATATCCGAAAACTGGGGCAGTAAAGGGTGAACAACGCAGAGCTGATTCCAAAGGAACATATTCATTCAGAACTTAATCACAAATGATACCACAACTAGTCACTTTAGTCATTCTGGTTTTTTGGAAATCTCTCAGTATATTTCCTATTGTGTACTGTAACTAGAATTCTTTCGTTCTCACCTGATCGAAGTTGCTGATTTTCTCATAAAACAGCTCTTTCACTGTTTCCATTCTCTCGAGAACAAAACCTACCTAGTTCGCATAAAGGGTATCAACACCAACTTTCAATTTACTCGGCAAGCGCATTGAAGAATATCACAATATCACATCTTCAGTTTTCCTCACTTTACTTCTTTCTTTCATGCTTTCTTCCTTCCTCTATTTCTTTCTTTCATTTTTTCTTTAATTATTTCTTTCTTCTTTTCCTCCCTTCTTCAGAAGCTTTATAGGTTTACGTCATCACAAGAATTGTTTTGATATCCTCATCACTTATCTTTACCATTTGTCAATAACTGATCAACAGGTTCAGTTTGATTACCGATGTGTGAGGTTTAATCGACATCTGCCGAATTATCGTGGCCGTACCAGTGTATAGCATATGGCGAATCGATACTAACGATTCGAGTCTCCATCAAACCCAGCGTCACTTAAAGACACATGGTACGATTGCATATAGCTTGGGTGCGCGTGACCACTAGCTCCCTAGCTGTCGAAGCGTAGCGGTTTCACCATCCTAAGATGCGCATGAATGGAGATACAGGACCGTGAAATACGCTAATTCCTCCATGCTCCGCCAAATGCCTTTTGCGGGCAGACTCCCGTTTATGCTAAGAGCCGTCCGCGCGGCGCGTGTCGCGCGCAGCGCTCTTGGCACTTTGCCAAATCCGTCCCGTAATTGCGCTTTGGAACACAAGTGAAACGCAATTGCACTTTCTTGATGCGGATAACAGTTGAGGCGCTGGTGCGAAAATAAGAACCGAAGATGATGACGAGGGCCAGAACTCCAGAGCAACTGTGCTGCTTCTGCAACATCCCTAGGACGCCGCGCATTCCCAAAAAACATGAAAATAGAAACGGCCTAAGCGTCCCACTCGTTAGTTCGAAGACACATGGTACGCTCAAACACATTGAGGGTGTATGAGACTGCCAGCCCCCCAGCTATCGATGTGTCGTGGTCCCCCGCCTAAAACTGCACGGGGTCAGAGTACGGGGTCGTAGGAAAGTCGTAATTCCTTGCCACGCCGCCCGTTTCGCAAACTCACGTTTTTACTAACACCGTCCGCGCGGCGCGGTCGCGTGCAGCTCTCTTGGCTTCTTGCCAAGTCCTGTATCGCGCTTTGGAATACAAGTACAACGCAATTTCTTTAGGCGGATAACATTTTAAGTGCTGCAAAATAAGAACCGAAGATGAAGACGAGGGCTAGAACTCAAGAGCAACTGTGCTGCTTCTGCAATATCCCTCAGAGGCCGCGCATTCCCACAGAAGATGACAATAAAAACCGACAACATGACAATAAAACATGACAATAGAAGCAAAACGCAATTTCCTGACATTTGAGGTATTGCTCATGCTTCAAAGTCCGAATAGAAGGTGATGAAGATGACAAAGGCTAGAAATGAAGAAGGACGAATGTAGATGTATATAAAACAAAATTGAGAAAACTAAGGAAACGCAAATTAATTAAAATCGCCTGTGCATTTCTGCGATCCGGCTCTGAAGCTATAAAAATACTTCAAACTAACGAGTGGGACACTTAGGCCGTTTTTATTGTCATGTTCTGTGGGAATGCACGGCCTCTGAGGGATATCGCGGAAGCAGCACAGTTGCTCTTGAGTTCTAGCCCTCGTCGTCATCTTCGCTCCTTACTTTGCAGCACCTAAAATGTTATCCGCATAAAGAAATTGCGTTTTACTTGTATTCCAAAGCGCAATCCTGAGTTGGCAAAAAGCCAAGAGAGCTGCACGCGACCGCGCCGCGCGGATGGTGTTAGTAAAAACGTGAGTTTGCGAAACTGGCGGTGTAGCAAGGAATTACGACTTTCCCACGGCCCCGTACTCTGACCCCGTGCAGTTTTGGGCGGGCGGGGGGGGGACCATGACACAAGCTGGGGGGCTGATAGTCTCATACACCCTCAATGTGTTTGAGCGTACCATATGTCTTTAAACAGCTTCAACAGCGCTCCAGTCCTGCGTACATCGGATATGCTCTTCTAGGACGTCAGGAGTCGCCTCTACCGATGAGGAGCCATCTAATCTCGTCAAGGAATTAGGACGTCATCAAAATAATCGGAAACCCGGAAACTCCCCCACCCAACGACACAAAGACTGCCTCTTCGTCTGATCGTACAATTGTCGGACTGTTGCATCGGGTGCTGATCAACACTTGCTGGGGAGTCTTCTGATCAAGTACGATGTTATCGCAATACTAGAGACGAAGGGCAAAACGAAAACCATTAGAAAAACCGATCACAACCAGCCGCTATTGTTGGAGCCAAGGTGGATGGCGAGAATGTCGGCAAAGTTGGATTTCTCGTAAACCAGGCAGTGCTACACCTAGTCGACTCTCGCAAAATCTTTAGTCCACGCATCGCTGTTCTACGTCTTCTGACAAAAAATCAAGGTACCACATCCATTATCAACGGATATACGCCCACCTCCGTCGCCACTGACGAAGAACGCGGAGTTTCACCAACTTCTGGGAGATATGGTTCAGAATGAGGGAAGTTACCACAAGTATGTAGCTGGTGACTTCAACGTCCTCACAGGCACGAACCACAACGGCGATCGGCGACTCGAGCCCCACGCATCGAACAGTCGAAATGAGAATGGAGAAAGGCTACTTGACTTGCTGTCTGCATGCCGTCTTTGTTACGGAAACTCTATGTTCGAGAAGCCAGACGACGATGGGCCTGGGAAAGTCTAAAAGGACAAACCCGTAAGAAAATTGATCACACCTTAACCAATCGACGCTGGAGCTTATTCGATGTATCAGTACTGTCGTCACTCGAAACTGGCTCAGACCACCGTTTGATCCGTGCTGAAGTATTTCCCAAGAAGGAACTATTCAAGCGCGATAGACATAGACCCTTATCCTCGAAGACCCCTCTTACAACAGCGAACAATAGGAAGCTGCCATTGAGGCTCATAGCTGGAATTTGCTGGACGACCCATCGCAAGACTGAAAACATCTCGCTGAAGGTCTGTGCAAGTGCGCAGAGCTTTCGCGTCTTCCACGACCAGATTTCAATCCAAGGCTCGATACTGTCGCAACTGCTTTGTTAGAAAAACGGATGGCTATGAAAGACCCTAATGCCACGCACTTGGAAAAGTCACCATCAACAAGGCATGCCGCTTTGCCGTCAGAGAATCACTTCGAGCTTACACAAGAACTAGGCCGCTAAAGTCGGCAGAAACAACATCGAGCATCAAACGCTGTAAACGAGATTTAAAGGATCAGAGAAATGTCATTCGAGCACTCATAGACAAGGATGGAAGAATACAGACATCTAGAAGATCTACCGAGAACATCGTTAGTGAATTGTATACGCAGCTTTTTCGCTCTTCCACAAATGTCTCAAGACGCTCTTTACCATCTGCTGGAGACACCCTCCCTCTCGGAATAGGAAGTTGCAAATGCGATAAAAAGGATGAAGAAAGGAACTGCTCCCGCTCCCGATGGCATATCTGCCAATCTTCTTCGTGCAGGAGGAAAGTCCTTTTATACACTATCCGCTGAGCACTTCATTTACTACCTAAGATTAGGAATGATTCCAGAACAGTGGGGAGATTCGAGAACAGTTTTTTGTTCAAAAAAGGCCAGAGCGAAGAGATTGCCAACTACCGATCTATCAATCTGCTCTCGACGATATACAAGTCGTTCACGAAGATACTGCTGAACCGTATGGAACATATTTTGGACGACTATCAACCACTAGAGCAGGCTGGCTTCCGCAAGAATTACTCCTGTATGGACACCATACAGGCACAGCTCATAGAGAGGAGCCGCGAGTACCATCTTCAACTTGTTCTCGTCTTTGTGAACTGTAAAAAGGCCGTCGATTCAGTGGAGGTTAATGCTCTTCTCAATGCCCTTGTGCGAGCCGGAGTATCCTCTGCCTACATTTGCCTGCTCGAACAGAGTTTATAGAACACATCAACAGCCCTTCAACTGTTCAAGCGCAAAGCAAAAATACCCATCAAGAAAGGGATCCGGCAGGGGGACATGTTATCCTCGAAGTTGTTCATGGCAGCATTACAGTATGCGATGTCAAACCTCAACTGGGATGACAAAGGATACCTGATTGACTGGAAAAAAAATAGGCAACCGCCGTTCCGCTGATGATATCGTTTTATATCCGATAGTACAGTCGAAATGGAATATATGGTAAATGAGCTCGACATGGTTGGTCAGAAGATTGGCTTGGAAATGAATATGTCCAAAACGAAAATGATGGTGAACCACTAGTGTGACGCGGGAACTGTGGAATTGGTAGGAGTTGCTCTCGAAAGAGTGGATTCCTAGGTGTATCTGGGAAGAGCAGACATGCTGGACAACATCTCTTCTGAAATAAGCCGCAGAAGGCGTGCGGAATGGGCGGTTTTTGGAACGATTCGTGAAGTAAAGAGCAAATTAAGGACCCTAACCTAAGAGCCTCGGTATTCGACGCCACAGTGCTACCAGCGATGTGATACGCGATCGAAACCTGGCTTGAAAACAGGACAATCACCAAGGCAATGCAAACTACGCATCGTGCACTGGATAGATGTCTTTTGAAGGTCGGCCGCCGCCAGCAATGGCAACAAGGTCTACGGAGTGCAGACCTAAGGGAGTGGTCGAGACTGAAAGAGCTGCTGCAATACGTGGCGCAATGCAAACACCGCTGGGCTGGTCACCTGCTCCGCCGCAACGATATATGGAGTCTCCGCGTCACAGAATGGTCCCAAGGAACGCAAAACGGCGTCTGGGACCACCATCAACGCGTTAGTCCGACTCGTTGTTGAAATATTTCAGAGAACATGGTCCACCACATTGGATGCAAGTCGCCAGAAATCGTGCGTCATGGAAGAGCTGTGGTCCCCACTGAAGATCAAGCCAGCTGAAGGACCATCAAAATATGAAAGTAAGTAAGTAAGTGCGGTCTCGTTTTTTATTTGATTACGCTGTTTTTTTGTTTTACCGACTGAGCTTTTTCCGAGCAAAGCCTCCTCTTCATGTTGTTTGTTGTGAGCCTCCGTTAACTAATCTCTCGCCGTTTGTTCGACCACTTTAACCTTTGCTGTTTGTTCCATGATCACAATTGTGTTGGAGATGCGCTTGCGGAGTCAGACTTTTAAAAATGACGCATTGCAGCGTCCCGTACACTGTTCGTGCACAGGGATCACGACACCGCGCCGGTTTGTGAGAGGGCTAACTTGTATACGGGACCTTATAAAACTACGTATTTTTTGTTACATTTTTCTGATATATAACTTTAATTCATCCTTAATGGCAGCTTCATGGACCACGGAAGGTGAAATGCGCATCATTCGGGAACGGAACTTATCCCAGACATTTCCGCCCATAATCAGCGTTACTTCGCTTCTAGAGCTTACTTTAGGGCAGAACAGTACCAGTACTAGCTAACATTTTTCAAACTTAGTACCAAAGAAGAAAATGAAGAAATAGTTGGCGAGGAAAACTAAAAGCAGAGAGTCGAAAATTGGAATGGTTGGAATGGAAAGCTACAGCTGGAGGAACGGAGGGGGGGGGGGCAAAAGGAACACTATACGCAAAACAGAAACCAAAGAGTTTGCCGTTATCTGCCTTTGGTAAGCGAATGCGGAAACTAGCTGGCGTGGTTGCCTCATTTCTTCAGACTTACCTAACAATCGAGCCAAAGCAACGCTTGTCTGACAACCAGGGCGACCAAGCCTTTCCACGTATGCCTTGTTCATGGAAAGTGATTTAGATGAAGAGACGCTCTGCGCCATGGCCTGTCCAGCTGGAAACAGATACGGTCGAATGATGGTGATGTCAAAAGAATATATATAAATATTTGACAATGTATTTAAGAGTTCCTTTGGGACCTATAAGTGGGTTTAATCAATGTCTCTTCAAAAAAGACGAGAATACCTGTGAACTTCTGCATGGGTTATGCACACTGCCCCTTTTTTGAATGATCACGTCTGCAACAGATCGAGGAGCCGTTAGGCACCACGATATGGGTTGCGTTGCATAGCATTTTTAATTGCAACCATGAAACTGCTTTCGTGCTCCAACAGGTCAGCAGTTGGGGCATCACATGTATCAATGGTCCAGTTAGTACTTTCGCAAAAGGCAAAAGCAAAAATAATTATTGCCACTGGAAAGGTTTGTGTTGAGCGAATAGGGTGTATGATACAAGTCCCAAATTCCGACCACGTAGTCATTTACTGTTTTGGCTGTACAGGACCTGGTGGCACGATTCAGCAATATAAGCTTCATCAAAATCTTTTGTGGAACCACTTCAGGATGCTTCATATGGACTTATGGACAAGTGAACCACACTTTTCCTTGGGAAGGCTCTCTTGATCAAAGTATCGCAGGACTTTCTTTGCAATCTAGTAGCTGGATTCGCTCGCGAATTCAACCTAACCAATATTTTGAATTATCATTCGGCATCATTTTTGTTTAGGCTCGTTGAAAAGTATGAGAACAATGAGAACAGTGAAAACTCCATTTTACGGAAATGTTTTAACTAAGAAAATGTAAGAATTACGTACCCAGGTAAGCTTGCGATGTTTCGTAGCCGTTGCGCAAAACGAGATGCAGCAATGCAGCCGCTGCATTCTGAACTGATGACAGTCGACTCGCCATAAGAACCAATAGGCGTTCAATTAGAAGCGATAGCTCTTCCAGTGGCCCATCTTCGAAAAGATACGAGTGAAACTAAACATGTTTGAGAAACTAGAAACCAAAGAACAGAATGGACAAACGTTATGATAGCTAAACTGGCAGGACTTATGCACGGTTGGGGCATGAGTTCATGACAAGATTGTGAGGAACTGAGTCAAATTTCTATGACGGAAGGCAGCAACAATATAGCGCCACGCAAGCAACATTTGTTTCCACTCAACTCTGCACTCTCGCTGCTATTCAATGAGCAACTACAAGCTCCCACTAGAATAGGACTCTAGCAATCACTCCTGCGATTTGTCATCTGTTTTTATGATGGAAGTAAGTTATCGTGCATTGCTCAGGGTTTTTCAGACTTGATCGTAGTCGGAAAAACGTGAACAATTGAAAACAGTCCGATCCAGCATTGTCTTTTGAACACCTAAGCAGAGCTTATTGATACGCTTTATACTTCAGGAAACACTGAACACGATTTTCTTCGCACATGCTTCTGGTGCCGGCCCTGGAATATCTGAATCGCGTAGACTAAAACCTTAAACACAGACGTACTTTGACATCTGTGAAACCTGGTCTTCGCCGTGCGGAGAAAATGGGCGATGGGCACGCAGCTAAAGCAGCGTGTCAGTTTCTTCGATCAAAGTGCACGAGAATGGGGCTGGAGGGTAGCCATACCAGGATGCTGTCTCCATATTCCCCTACACTGCCAAGCGCACGCTTGATAAACTGCAGAATCACCCTATCTTTCCCATGTGTGGGGATGATGGATCCGCAGCTGAAGAAGCAGCAGACAAATTTCTAACCAAGTCGAGATTTTAGCCCAACTTAATATACCCGCATGAGATGAATAGTGGCCTGTGCCCCAAATAGCAATCAGACAGCTAACCTCATACCGAAACCTCAACTTGGGACTGAGTAAACACTTTAGGCTTGCTTTTAGAGAGAAAACATTACCTAGTTCACCTGTCAGCGTCGCGCTGCTAAAAAAAATGTCACCGTGTAGGGATATACCCACCACAATATTCGCAGCTTAAAACGTCAAAATTCTCCTCGCTCTCAAATCGCGTTAAAATTTCACATGCAACGCCTGAATACATGTTTTGCCCCGATGACGGGAAAAGAAATTTCATGAAACTAAGGACGAGCCATTCAGTACGTTCGATGGGATGCCGTAATGGTTATATAGGAGAAAAGAATCGCCAAAGGCGGAAACAAGCCCTTGGATATGTTGCACGTTCACAATCCAGGATAACGACAGTCTGACACATTCTAGCAACCTGCTTGCGAAGTCGTTCAGTTCGACGCGACTGCGTCTATCACGACACATGAAGTTGAACCTGCTGCACCACATGAGAAACATTTTGGATTTCACTACAACACCTCAAAACAAGAAGACTGAGGAGTGAGTGGCTATCACTAAAGGACTCACGTCCTTTCCGGATTTGCGCTAGTTTTGATCGTGTTCGGGGAAGTCTGGCGATGACGGCCGCTCCGAGCACAAAGCCTGCAGATTAGATATCACCTCTGCTGAGGTCAGAGTAAGCGATATGATCTCCACTGATCTACGCTCTGTTCAGTAATTGATCAGTCGAAAAAACTGGCCCAGCTGAAGGTCAACATCGAATGAACGTTGTTTATTCGATGAGCGCATTGCTCGGCCATCGGATATCGGTAAGATCAGCAAAGAGCAGCGGTAGCGAGCGCGTTCATCTTCATCTCTGGAGCCTGACTGCGAGAACAATAATCGTTTTGAATTTCCTTGCCGTTTAGCTATAGAAAGGCAGGGATGTGTGCATTCAGAAGTGATGATAGAAAGACCCAAGACCTTCCTAGGCGACTCACTATTCCCACACCGCGCAGAGATGCGTTTATTTGGGCTTTAACGTGATGACGCGTTAATCATCACAGACAGTCACACAGCAAGAGAGACAAACTGAAAAATCTCACCATATTGACGAATACAGAAAGAGCAGCTAGGGCGTGCAAACGAACACCCTCCGACCAGCAATTATCGAGAAGTGAAAGATAGATGGAAAACAACTTCGAAAAAACATTCTCTTCCAGCACACGCGTTTTCACATGTCGGTCCTCAATAAAAAATTGTTATTGACAGTGTGGTTGAACACTTTAAAACAAAATATAACTCCACAGTATTACCTCAAGCGCAACCGAAACTCAAAAGTCATCACAAGAATGCTGTGTTATGAGCAAAAGTGCTGACCTCAGGCAGGACTCGAGCCCACACCTCACGCCTTCCTGGCAAGTGCGCTATCCGTCGCGCCACCAGATTCGCTCTCACCCTTGAGGCTTGACGGCCTTCATGCCGCAGCTATCGTTAGATAACAGCAGTCACCAGCGAGGACCGAAGGGTGCACAAGTTTTTAAGTTGTTTCACCATAACTGTTGTTTGGTACCGCGCTTTGAAAGTTATCAAAAGAATGCTGAATTATGGGCAAAAGTGACGATCACAGGCGGGACACAAACACGCACAACTTCAAAGACTTGAAAAGCCTTCGGCCTCGCGGTTCAATGCTGATTTCCAAAGATAGGGCTGACCGATTCACCATGTTGAACTTATGAGCGCTATAAGAAGACAACATAAAAGCTGTCAAGCTGAGACGGTGAGAGGCTGCGAGGGTGGTGTCACAGGTAGCGCACTCGCCCGGAAAGAGTGAGGTGCGCGTTCAGTTAACACTTCTGCCCATAACTCAGCATTCTTGGGATAACTTTCAAAGCGGAAACTGCGGCGCCAAAAAACACTTATCAGCACTTATCATAATGAAACAATTTCATCAATAGACACTTCGAACGAGGGGCTGAAGGGACGAAATACGAATGCAACTTTGAATAGTTTGCATTGAAAATTTCATGTATAACATTTGAGGTAACAGTAGAACAACTACTGGAGTTTCTGCAGACAAATACTATTTCAGCTAGGCTAGCCATCAGCAAGACAACGCATTCATGCATATCAGGTGATCTTTCAACACAGGCGCTCAATACATGAGCTGCCAACTAGAAAGACTAATTGCAAGTACTAGACTGTATTAGGGTGAGTCATTGGTTGATAGACAGCATACTGACTCAGCCATCGCTACATTCGTAATCGAACACGGCGCGTGGCAAGTGTCATGGTGTCCGAGATGTTTAGAGAAATTCTGAACACTAATTCTCAATGATCATCATCGAAGTCTTTTCCAGCAATCTCAATTTGTCCCTCACTTTTGAGCAGGATTGGTCTTAATGAAAGTTTATTTACACTACTGTTTTTTGTGTTCTGAAAAAAGTCTGATATATAGAAACAAAAAATACTGTCGTGATTATGAAAGACCCCTGCAACTGATGCACGACTCCGAAGATTTTGAGGTTTTCAGGTCGTCTATAATCATCCATTTCAAGTCAATTTCGCATTAATACGCACTGACAAATGTTTAGAGAGCTAGCGTGTTACTTCCAATGTCCTCGCCAAGAGAAGACGCACACGGCAACCAATGCACAGCAAATTTCTGCACCCGGATCACTACTGGATTAATGCAGCGACTAAGCGCATCTTGCCTAGCAAATTGGACTGCTGCTGACTTATCATTTTCAGAAAGGTGTCCAGGAAAAGCAGAAGAACTAGAAACCGCAGGAGTCCAGCAACCAAGGCTCTCTCCGACGAGCATGAGAAATATTCCTACGACGCTGCAGGTAACGGGCATAAACGCAATTGATCGTATAGGTCGCTGCCTTTCTTAGTGAATGCCAACTGCTTTATCTCCCCTTTCGAATGACGAAATCGGAGCAGGCAAGTGTGGATGTGGATGCTAAATACATGGAGGCATTTCGAGGAAACCCTGATTGTGGGAATGTCTTTGAATGTTATACTATACCGGCTGAGTGAAAAAGACATGCCCAGAAAGCCGATTAGACAATAGTTTTAGCCGCTGTATATATTTAGCTGTCCATAGTTTCCAGAACAGCCTATACTCATTATTTTGAAGACTCTGACAGAAGCCTCAAGACTTGTCTTCCAAGCCGTGGCCGCTCTGTTGCAAAAACTAAGACGCCTTGCGAGAACATTTGACGACTATTCAAAAGAAAGAGCAAAAACCACATTACACGTCACGGGTCTTGAAATTCCGGCTGCACCCAGAAGAGCGGAAATAATTCTACTAAATTTTCATGAAAAAAAACTGAAAGGTCCAAAATATGGTGCTACGCAACCCTGTGAGTCGATAAGGAAAGTCGCCAAAAAAACTAGTAGTCAGCACCAACCGAACACGATGCGCAGCTATAGAGAAATTGGAGTTCAATTTCTACCACGACCAAGAAGTTCACGTTCTTATTGCACTGGAGGCGAAAAAGGGAGTTTAGGTGAATATTCTTTGAAGGCCAGGCAATAGAGGAGAAGAAGTCACTGCTGTATCAGAGTGAAGTATCATTCGCTACCGTAGAGCAAAGCAGGCCTACCACTTCCTAAAACCCTGGTACCTGAGCGTTTCCGAGTATCGCCGATCGCAGAGATGCATGTAGACTTCATTTCATCCAGGTTACTTTGATCCGAGCCCTTACGTCCAGGCCCACGATCCCATTAGCAGCTTATCGCTCCACAGGTGCTGGGACTGCTCGACCCTTTCGATGCCGCCGTGGCAGACTACGATGGGTACGGTGCAGTCTTCGTTGTTCAAGAACTTGATCTTCTGTACCTCCAGTCAAAGTCTATTCTCAGCGAGCACTTCCTTCTTTCTGCAACGTCATCAGCGTGTATGAAGGTGTTCCGTGGTACCTCCAGAGTTCTCTTGCCATGACTCAAATACAAAACGCACGCTAACCTGCCAGGTGCTTCCTTGTCATGTGCGGGGCTAACAGGTCCCATCTGTCGATACATAGCGGTTTCCCCGTCCGAACATACACAGGAATGGGGATCCAAAACCGTGGGGTAGGCTAATTCCTCCATACTCCGCTTGAAAAGCAACTTGCGGCGCGAATACGCCGCACGCGCTACCATATCCCGATCGCATCCAAACTCGCCGGCTGTCCACACAGTACGTGTCGCGCGCGACGTCTTGTTGCCAAGTCTTGCACTGGGCTGGCCCGTGAGACCGTTTTTTGCTGAGTAGAAGTTCGCCTCGAAGATCAAAAGTTTAGCAGTTGAGTTTTACCATGAAGAATCGTTCGCATTACGCGCTTACTTTTCCCGAAGACTATTTACACTAATTTTCAAGGGCTAGGTGTCAAGTCGACGAAGTTCAGCGTTTTCGACGCTCACGCCATTCTACACTCAAGTAAAAAGCCAAAGTCGCAAAGGGCCTTTCGATGAGTATAGGATCGAAAAGCGACGTCTCCTAGGAACACGCGATCCAGACCCTTTGAAGATTTCGGTTCAGACCTCACAAGCAAGTATAAGAACGGATACCTTATTGAGTTCGTCTAAAACCTTACTATATAAGTTTTTTCATGCGGGTCCGTACCAAGTAATGGCGAACCGGTGAATGTCATGGAAGGTTTCTATCTTCTCATCGAGCATCACCTAAAACTATTAGAGAAGTTTAAAACTTGATGGACGGGCTCTTCAGGCAGACGCTCCCCAATAAGCCGCCCCATGCCATGCATATTTGCAACGTCCAAGCTCCCAATTCTTAATCGCTTGTACTGTCTCAAACATCATGAAAAGCATCATTTCTTGGTCACATACATCACAAGTTCCGAGCTGCTTCTGAGTTTTGACAGCCAAGTTCAAGTGAAAAAAGCTCGTGTTAAATACTCTCACTTTCGACAACCCGACACTCGATTCTGATAAACTAAAAAATTTCAAAAACAGATAATGAGTAGAAAACCAGGCACATTTGACTTGCTGTGCAGGTAAATGTCTATAAAATAGTATAGAATGCGTCAGGAAAAACGCCAAATTCATACAAAATCATAAGTAAGAAAAAACTGCCATTACTTACGAGCCAAGTGAGCCAACCCAATAGTGCGCTTTCGATTACGATTAAAGCGCAAATCCCTGCGGATGACATCTGAGGCGTTGCTCATGCTACAATCTCTGAACCAGATAATGACGAGGGCTAGAATTGAACAACAACTAATGTAAACGTATATGAAATGTAAATTAATGTAAATTAGTAGTTCACTCTAGTAAATTTTCGCAGTTCGACGCGATTCTGATTCTAGAGCCATAAAAAGGCTTCAAATTATTGACTAGGACACTGAGGCCAATTTGACTTTCGTGTTTTGCGAGAATGCTCTCGAGGAAGACTGCGGAAGCAGCATGATGCTCTTGAATTCTAACTCTCGTCATCATGATTCAGAATTTTAAGCATGTGCAACGCTTCAACTGCCATTCGCATTAAGAGCTTGCGTTTTATCGTATTCAAAAGCGCAAACTATAAGACTTGGCAATTTGCCAGGAGCGTCGCGCGCGACGTGCGTTGGCCGGTCGGTACAGAAGCGATCGGGGTGTGATCGCGGCGTGCAGCGTGTCTGCGCCGCAAGTTTTTTTAGGCGGAGTTTGAAAGAACTAGCCTATGCCATGGTCCTGGATCTCCATTCCCCATGATTGGACGGGAACACCGCTACTCTTTGGAAGCTGAGGGCCCGCACGCTCACCTGCGAGGTGCATACTTGGCATATGCCAAGTATGCACCTCGCAGGTGAGCGTGCGTTTTGTCTTCAAAGAGCAAGACGTATAGGAATCGGCTCAGGGCTGATTTCTGGCGTACTCCATTACGATGTCTATCTTCTTTGTCGAGACGTGAGCGTTGCGTACAACTGTCATGCCCCATCGTACACATCCTTCACTGAAGAACAGGTGTTCCGGAACGTTCCTTCTTTGAGCACTCTTCACAGCACAGGACGGAGTAGGCGACTGAATGCCTTCTCAAGGTTCAAAGGTGCGGAAGCAGGGTCGCCGCCTCCCTCCACACCTCTTCATAACCCGTCCGGTGATGAAGATGGCAACAGTGGTG